CCATAAGATAGTTCCTAAGTTTTTAATCAACTTTATACACAGCTGATGACTAGGGTGCTCAGAATACAGTTTATTGGAAGAAAATGAAAACTGCCTATGATATAAGGAGACCTAGGTTTGCCTTCTGACTCTTCATTTATAAATTGTAGACTTTAGATAAGACTTTCTCTCATGACTCTATGTTTTCTAGTACATAAAATGAAGATAATAATCCATATTTATACTACAGGGTTCTCTTACAACTCAAGTAAGATAATGGAGAAATATCTATGAGTTATGAACTCTACAGACACTTGTTAATACCAAAATAATTATATATTCATAAGAATCATAAAAACTAAACCTTACTTAAATACTAAATCTCTATATGGTAAATGGAATTTCAATGCCACATACAATGGACACTGATGATGATCTACTGAGAAATGATTCACACAAGTCTGTTCTCATCCCCTCCACCATTTGTAAGACTATGAATTTTTCCATATCATATAAGCAAAAGAAGGATTCCTCTAACACATCTATAAATAATTTCTTCATCCAACATCAAAGAATACTAAAAGAAGTTGACCTCAATTTAATTTTTCATCTATACTGTATGGTTTCCCAGCTGTGTTCTTTGTTTTCGTGGCTCCTTAATTAATGAGGCCAGTGACATGTCTTTTTGATATTTTCCTCTGCTGTCCCTTTGTATGACACATTGAGCTATGTTTGTGAGAACCCTTGCCAAAGCCAGTAAAAACTTCATTGTACACGGCCAGAAAAAAAAAAAAGCACACAGTAGCATCTTTTTTTTTCCCTCACTAACAGAGTCAGCAATTAACAAATATAATCAGACAAACTAAAGCTTAGAGTGTCAAGGATAGATTCTTTGTGATTCAGGATGTTAAGGATGTTTTCAAAGTGCTCACACAAACAGTCAAAATGCTGCTATTACAAGCTGCTATGTGTTTGTAAAAGTAGTGTTTTTGGAAGTGCTTCTCTTATCTCATCTCCGGGTGGAAACCTCCCCATCTTTGCAGATTACACAAACAAGCCCTATCCTTTAGCAAGAACTCTATTAACTGCCTGACCATTTAAACAGACATTTGCTGAGGCATCTTTTAAAGCAAGCACTTACTGATAATGATTTGATGACTGTTCTAAAAAGGAAGAAGGGAAACAAGGAGAAATATGTTGCCCTATCTCAGTGCGGCTCTCTTCACTACAGGGCCATGATGAAAACCAAGAAGCACAGCATTCTCCAAATCCACTTGAAGCTTGAGAGAAAGTGAAAATCAAACCATGATTCCAGTTACTCTCAAAGGTTCTGTTGATAGTTGATGCTGGAGTTAGGACCTGGCATAGATTAGTTCTAGAACGTTGACCATTTTTAAAAAAAGTATTCAGGTTTTAAAAATTTCAAAACTATCAGAGACAGGTATCTTTTGTGAAGGTGGGGACAGAACCAGAATCCCTGAAGGAGTGATGAAGAAAACACACAAAAGCTGACTCATCATGTTTCAGGAAGATATTTTCCATCTATAATCCTTGGGCTTGCCTACCAGGGCCCAGACTGGCAGGGGGTGAGAAAGATGCCCAGAACACAAACATAAGGAAGCACTCTATCTCTAGCACACCCTAGTCCCAGTCTTCCTGCCTACAGAGGCATCTGATCAAATAACTTCATTTTAACTACTGAAAGACGGAACCAATGGAGATCTACGTCTTCAACAAAGACAGTAATGAGCAGAGATCTCTGCATTCTTCCATTATACATTAGGGTTTTCAACATGCTTTCATATATATTCTCACATTATGCCAGCCACAACCTTCTGAGGCTAACAGTGTGCTATGTTATTAATCCCACCACAGAGATAAACAGTCAAAGGCTTTGGCATAGTCAATAAAGCCGAAGTAGATGTTTTCCTGGAACTCTCTTGCTTTTTTGATGATGCACCAGATGTTGGCAATTTGATCTCTGGTTCCTCTGCCTTTTCTAAATCCAGCTTGCACATGTGGAAGTTCACGGTTCACATACTGTTGAAGCCTGGCTTGGAGCATTTTGAGCATTACTTTAGTAGTGTGTGAGATGAGTGCAATGGTGCGGTAGTTTAAACATTGTTTGGCATTGCTCTTCATTGGGATTGGAATGAAAACTGACCTCTTCCAGTCCTGTGGCCACTGCTACGTTTTCCAAAATTGCTGGCACATTGAGTGCAGTATTTTCACAGCATCACCTTTTAGGATTTGAAATAGCTCAAATGCAATTCCATCACCTCCACTAGCTTTGTTTGTAGTGATGCTTCCTAAGGCCCACTTGACTTCACATCCCAGGATGTCTGGCTCTAGGTGAGTGATCACAACACTGTGGTTATCTGAGTCATTAAGATGTTTTTTGTATAGTTCTTCTGGGTATTCCTTCCACTTCTTCTTAATATCTTCAGCTTCTATTCTGTCCTTTATTGTGCCCATCTTTGCATGAAATATTCCCTTGGTATCTCTGATTTTCTTGGAGAAATCCCTAGTCTTTCCCATTCTATTGTTTTCTTCTATTTCTTTGCACTGATCACTGATGAATGTGTTTTTATCTCTCCTTTCTATTATTTGGAACTCTGCATTCAGATGGATATATCTTTCTTTTTCTCCTTTGCTTTTAGCTTCTCTTCTTTTCTCAGCTATTTCTAAGGCCTCCTCAGACAACCATTTTGCCTTTTTGCATTTCTTTTTCTTGGGGATGGTCTTAATTACTGTCTCCTTACGAACAAAGCTAGTGGATGTGATGGAATTCCAGCTGAGCTATTTCAAATCCTGAAAGATGATGCTGTGAAAGTGCTGCACTCAATATGCCAGCAAATTTGGAAAACTCAGCAGTGGCCACAGGACTGGAAAAGGTCCGTTTTCATTCCAATCCCTAAGAAAGGCAATCCCAAAGAATGCTCAAACTAGTGCACAATTGCGCTCATCTCACACGCTAGTAAAGTAATGCTCGAAATTCTCCAAGCCAGGCTTCAGCAATACATGAACCGAGAACTTCCAGATGTTCAAGCTGGTTTTAGAAAAGGCAGAGGAACCAGAGATCAAATTGCCAATATCTGCTGGATCATCGAAAAAGCAAGAGAGTTCCAGAAAAACACCTATTTCTGCTTTATTGACTACGCCAAAGCCTTCGACTATGTGGATCACAATAAACTGTGGAAAATTCTGAAGGAGATGGGAATACCAGACCACCTGACCTGCCTCTTGAGAAACTGGTATGCAGGTCAGGAAGCAACAGTTAGAACTGGACATGGAACAACAGACTGGTGCCAAATAGGAAAAGGAGTACGTCAAGGCTGTATATTGTCACCCTGCTTATTTAACTTATATGCAGAGTACATCATGAGAAATGCTGGTCTGGAAGAAGCACAAGCTGGAATCAAGATTTCCAGGAGAAATATCAATATCCTCAGATATGCAGATAACACCACCCTTATGGCAGAAAGTGAAGAAGAACTAAAAAGCCTCTTGATGAAAGTGAAAGAGGAGAGTGAAAAAGTTGGCTTAAAGCTTAACATTCAGAAAACGAAGATCATGGCATCTGGTCCCATCACCTCATGGGAAATAGATGAGGAGACAGTAGAAACAATGTCAGACTTTATTTTTGGGGGCTTCAAAATCACTGCAGATGGAGACTGCAGCTATGAAATGAAAAGACGCTTCCTCCTTGGAAGAAAAGCTATGACCAACCTAGACACCATACTAAAAAGCAGAGACATTACTTTGCCAAACAAGGTCCGTCTAGTCAAAGCTATGGTTTTTCCAGTAGTCATGTATGAATGTGAGAGTTGGACTATAAAGAAATCTGAGCACCGAAAAATTGATGCTTTTGAAGTGTGGTGTTGGAGAAGACTCTTCGGGGTCCCTTGGACTGCAAGGAGATCCAACCAGTCTATCCTAAAGGAAATCAGTCCTGAATATACATCAGAAGGACTGATGTTGAAGTTGAAACACCAATACTTTGGCCACCTGATGTGAAGAACTGACTCATTGGAAAAGATCCTGATGCTGGGAAAGATTGAAGGTGGGAGGAGAAGGGAACAGCAGAGGATGAGATGGTTGGATGGCATCACCAACTCTATGGGCATGAGTTTGAGTAAGCTCTGGGAGTTGGTGATGGACAGGGAAGCCTGGTGTGCTGCAGTCCATGGGGTCACAGAGTTGGATACGACTGAGCAACTGAACTGAACTGAACTGAACAGAGATGAACAAACAAGTTTAGAGCAATGACAGGATTTGATGAAAACAGTAGAGGTAGAACTTGAATTCAGGACTCTTGACTCTCTGTCAAGTACTCTTCTCATAATACTACCCAACACCAACTCTGCCTTTGATGTCCTTTATAACATCAGATTTCATGACCTATGTTGATTAGAATTAATCATCAAGTCACTGCAGTGGCTGGTTAACAAAGAAATAATCTTAAATTTGTCTGTTGTCAACTGTCCATATAACAGCCTTATGAGAAATGAAAAATGGACAAAAAGAATTCATCTAATGGGTCTTAATTCCAGTCTTTAACACTTTACAGGCAACCAAAGCCATTTAAGTCAACTTCAAAGGTGATGTTTTTCCTACTATCATTAGTTGCATAGTACCATCATATTTTTGTTTATGTTATTATCAGTAAGGCCTTAGAAACCATTAGCAACATATGGGTAACTTTGCTAAGAGTTGTAAAGAAGCTGAGATTAGGGCAGGTTTATATAATATCAAGTTTGAGCCTTCGCTCCCTGTACTAAGAGATGTTCAGAAAAGAGTGGTGTGGAGCGGGGGGGCAGTGCGGGGCGGGGGGAGACCCTTTCCAGTGAGCAACCTGTCTCTGCACAGCACTGCTTCAGACAAAACCTTTCTAACACTAACCAGAAACACAATTTAATTGTCCACAAAGGAAAAAAAACTGAGTTGCAAATCTAATTTCCTGTATATAGTAGATTAATGTAGAGAGAATCTAAATTATTTAAAAGTGAAGAGAGACTTACTTCTCCCCATGTTTTCCTGTGGTCTCTGGTAGATCCTTGGATGATGAGTCCCTCTGCAAAACACAGCACACACAGAGTCAGATTCAAGTTCCATTAAAACTGATGTTGTCAACATGAACATTTCAGTGCTTTCCAATCTTGCCCCCTTATATAAATAAAGCTGGTATCTAACCTCAGAAGATGGAAACACAGTATTCTGGAACACATGGGCTCCATATCAGTTGGCTATGACCTTGTTTATCTGGCATTAGTTTCTGCCCTTGCCAAATAAAAGTCATCAAATTGATCACATGCTTCTCTCATAGGAAAGAAGTGATATCAACAAAAAAAGGTGGATAAAAATGCCAAAAGGCTCAATTTTAATAAGAAGGCTAGCATGTTATTTTTCTGCCTATCCCTGGTTTCTCTTCAGTGTCACTCTGTGACAAATCCAATACCCTTTAGAGTGTAACATTTTCCTGAATGGTGCCAAACAGCAGTACCTCTAATCAAATTATCCCTCCGGCAAAGCAGCCCACAGAGTTACTACCAGTAAACAGCATGAATCAATAATAACTATGAGCTACTGAAAATAGAAACTTCGGAGGAGAAAAATACATACTGCAAATGCAGGTATGCATGGAGGAGCAGCGATTCTGTTTCTTTAGGAAAATACACACACAGAAGCTAACTTATACCACAATGGCTTCATTTTCTTACAGGGTTTAATCACAAAACTACCACACATTTACTGTTCACGTGTCACATTCCCAATATGGAGCTAAGCACCAGAGAGGCACAATTCTAATTTATCACCATGTTAAGGAATATATAACCTGCTTAAGTCAAACATATAGAGGAGAGTAATGTCATCAACCTGGCCACAGATGATCATTCCCAATTTCAGTTCCCCTCACAAGAAGACCCACTAGCAACTATGCACAGAAAATGTGCATATGCCCATTGTGAAGATGCTAGGCTGAAGCACCCTGCCAGACAACAGAGAGTGAGCAGGACCACATGAGAAGGGTGAGTGGACTGGATCCACCCTGACTACATCACCCTCCTCCCGGGAGGGAGGAGAGGAATATGGATTCCATACTAGGAAAAGAGAGCTAAAGGTGGGCATCCAGCTCCCCTACCATATAGGACACTTCCCCGGAGGCCCACTCAGGTCTCGCCTTATGGAGGCCACTGGAGCAATCTGCTGCTTGAATACTGGGAATTGGAAAGAGATGGAGAAGGGGGCGGGGCTCAAAGAAAACAGTGCTCAGGCCTTGGTAAATGGCATTTCTGCTCACATCCATGCCTTAGCAAAGATCCTGGCCAGCAGATCTGGCCATTTGCAGAGCTAAGCAGGTGGCCCCTTCTGAACAGAGAGCTCAGGTGGTAGTTCTACTTGATCTGGATCTACATTCAGTGGAGCCTCTTCTACCATCCAGCCCATGAAGGCAAGCAAATGCCTAGCCCTGCTGAAGTGCTGAGCATAGCCTCCAGTTTCTCCTTCCAGGACACCTGGCTGGGGAACCAGAGCAGCCATGAACTCATCTTGCAGCCCCAACTGGTCAGACAGCCAAGCTAGTAGTGCTGCCCAATTGCTGAGCATAACCACTGACCCCACAAAACCAGGGAGCTGGAACAGTGACCCTGGGCAACAGAACCCAGCCGATGGGACTGCTAGAAAGGCAGAGCGGAGCCTACACTCCCAACTCAGCCATGGAGCCTAGCCTTTCAACCCTGATAAGCAGAGGAACTCAGTCTATGGCCCTGCCCACTTGCTGGAAACAGCCTGTGGTCTTGCCCATGCAGGAAGCCCAGCCAGTAATCTTGCCCAATGAAGAAGGGTAGCCTGCGGTCCCATCCAACAAGGAAGCTCAGCAGCATGCAGCCTTGTTCAACTTCATGGCAGTGTCTGTGGCCCCACCTAATCCTGAAACACAGCTTGAAGCCATGTGAAAACACTCTGTCCTGCCCGGGGCCCTGCTTAAACATAAAATCCAGCCAGCAGTACTACTGGGTTGTGGAGTGCGGTCTGAGATCCCACACAACAATGCGTGACTGCTGAACCAACCCATAGTCCTGCTCAATCATGGACTTGAACCCAACTGGAGGTGATATCATAACTCAGCTAGTGGTCCCATTTCACTGCTGAGCAAAACCAGTAGCCCCACCCAACAGGGGGATGTCACCTAGTAGTCCTGCTTGAACATGGAGCCCAGCCAATAGGCCTACCCAACAGTGGAGCCCAGTCAGTGGCATTTCCCCCAAACTCAGAGCATGGTCTCACTCAATGAGACTCCAAGTACAAGCTAACTGGTCCAGCAGCTGAAAGCTATCATGAGTGGTGAAGGTCTTTCTCTACAGAAGTGAACCTGTAAAGTCTGGAGGAGGAGACTGCTTAAACATATACACAGACACCAATGCAAGGAATCATGAAACAAACAGGTAAACATGACATCACCAAAAGAAACTAAAAGTTACAACAACTGACCCTAATGAAACAGAGGTCTATAAGCTATCTGAAAAAGAATTCAGAAAAATCCTCTTAAAGAACTTTCAGTGAACTACAAGAACACACTGACAACTAAAGAAAATCAGGAAAACAGTACATGAACAAAACAAAAAGTTCAAGAAGTAAACAGAAACCATGAAAAAAAATCAGAATCTTTTGGGGGTTGATGGAAGTGTCCACTGTTCTTTTTTTTTTTAACTGTTCTTTTTTTATTTTGTATTGGAGTATAGCCGATTAACAAACAATGTTGTGATAGTTTCAATGAACAGCAAAGGGACACAGCCATACATACACATGTATCCATTCTTCCACAAACTCCCCTCCCATCCAGGCTGCCACATAACATTGAGCAGAGTTCCATATCCTATACAGTAGGTCCTGGTTGGTTATCCATTTTAAATCTAGTAATGTGTACATGTCCATCCCAAACTCCTTAACTATCCCTTCCTCTTTTCCTTCCCCCCAACAACCATAAGTTCATTCTCTAAGTCTGTGAGTCTTTTTCAGAAAAAAAGAAATCTTAGAGCTGAGGAATACAATAACTGAAGAATTCAATAGAATAAAATGGTAATATCTAGCAATAATTACTTTAAATGTAAATGGGTTAAATTCTCCAATCAAAAACAGCATGGCTGAGTGGATAAAATACAAGATTTCAATGATATGCTGTCTACAAGAGACTCACTTTACTTTTAAGGACACATATAGGATGAGGTGAAGGGATGGAAATAGATATTCCAAGCAAGTAGAAACCAAAAGAAAGCAGGGATAACTATACTTAGATCATACAAGGTAGACTTTAAGCTAAATACGGTCATGAGAGACAAAGAAGGCCATTATATAAAGAAAAAGGAGTCAATTTCATCATGAAGATATAACAACTGTAAATGTTTATGCACCCAATGTTGGATGCACTTAAATATATAAAGCAAGTACTACTACAAATAAAATGAGAAACAAACAGCAATACAGTAACATGTGCTGACTTTAATATCCCACTCTCAACAATGGATATATCATCCAAATAGAGAATCAATCAGGAAACAGTGGATTTTAACTACACTACAGACTAAACAGATCAGACAGACAGACAGAGAGAGCATTCCATCCAACAGCAGCAGAATACACATTTTTCTCAAGAATAGAGAAACTTTTTCTAGGATTGATCATATGGTAGGCCAAAAAACAAATTTCGACAAATTCAAGAAGGCAGAAATTATGCAAAGCATCCTTTATAAACACAATGTTATGAAGGTAGTAATCAATAACTAGAGGAAAGCAAGAAAAATTTCAAGTACATGGAAATTAAACAACATCTTCCTGACCAACCAATGGACCAAAGAAGAGAAATCAAAAGGTAAATAAAACAAATCTTGAGACATACAAAAACTGAAATACAATACAGGAAAACCCATCAGATGCAACAAAAGTAGTTCTAAAAAGTTCATAGTGGTAAATTTATAAAAGAAAAGAAAGATCTCAAAAGAACAACCGAACTTTAGCCGTAAAGAAATTAGTAAAAGAAGAAACTAGCCCAGAATTAGTAGAGGAATTCAATACTAAATATTAGAGCAGAAATAAATACAATAAAGAATAGGAAAGCAACAGAAAAGATTAACAAAATTAAAAGTTGGTTCATTGAAAAGAACAAAACTGACAACTTTTTAGCTAGACCAATAAAAAAGTGAAGATCCAAAGAAATACAAAGGATCATGAGACTACTATGAACAATTACCACCAACAAATTAAACAACCTAGAAGTACTAGCAAAAAAAAAGATGAATAGACCAAAAAAACAGAATCCTGAGTCCAGAAATAAATCCAAGAAGATAAAGTCAACTAATATTTGACAAGGGAGCCAAAAACACTCGATGGGGAAAAAACAGTCTAACAAATGATTCTGGGAAAACTAGATACTCACATTAAAAAAATTTGAAAATGGACCACCTCCCTTACACCATGGACAAAAATAAACTTTAAATGGACCACCTCCCTTACACCATGGACAAAAATAAACTTTAAATGAACTAAAGGCTTAAACTTAAAACTTGAACTCAGAAAAAGTCCTAGAAGAAAACAAAGGGGAAAAAACAGGCCAAAAAAAGCACAAATTAATAAGACTACATCAATCTAAGAAGCTTCTGTAGAGAAAAGAAATGATCAACAAAATGAAAAGGCAACCAAAGGAATGGGAGAGTTTATTTGCAAACCACATATCCAATAAAGGGTTAATATTCAAAATATACAATGAACTTACACAACTCAACAGCAGAAAACAATCAAATTTTAAAATGGGCAATGGATCTAAATAAACATCTTTCAAAAGAAAATACACAAATGGCCAACAGGTACATGAAAAGGTGTTCAACATCACTAATCCTGAGAGAAATGTAAATTAAACCACAATGAGGGGTGGGAGAGTTGATTCAAGAGGGAGGGGACATATGTATTCTTATGGCTGTTTCACGTTGTTGTATAGCATAAGTCAACACAATATTGTAAAGCAATTATCCTCCAGTTAAAAATACATTACAAAAATACAATGGAACATCACATCTCACA